CCAAGAATTGATGAAATGATGGACTCTCTTGGAAATGCTCACTGGTTTTCATCTATGGACTTAACCTCTGGATACTGACAAATTGAAATGAAAGAAAAAGATAAATCCAAAACTGCTTTCATCTCTAGAGAAGAATTATTTGAATTCAATGATATGTCTTTTGGATTATGTAATGCCCCAGCCACTTTTCAATGTGCTATAGATACAGTACTTGGAGAATATAATTGGAATTTTGCCAATATGTACATTGACGATCTAAATGTATTCTCAAAAGATTTTGAAGAATAAATATATTTTCTATTTAATATATCTCTTTATGCAAAATTTTTAATATAAAAGATTCTTTCTTCATTTGATATATCTATTAAATATAAATAATTTATATAAGAATAGAATATAAAAGATTTATAATAGTTTGTATAATATATTATAATAATTTATCTCTCTTGATCAATCAGAATTTTATTTATATTAACTAATTATAGTCATAAATTTTTTATGTAATTTATCTTTATTCTAGATATTTCTTATTATAAAATTAATAATTAGTATTTATTAATATTTAAATAAAAATATTCTTGATATTTATATATCTCTATTTTTAATATATTAATAACTAACTGATTTATTATAAAAGAAAATTAAATATAAATTTTATTATATATAATAAAAAGTTAAGAAAATTAAATAAATCTTATATAAAAGAATAAAATCAATATATATTATTATAAAGAAAAATTATACATAATTTTATAAAGAAAATCTAATATTAAACAATTTGCTTAATTATTAATATTATTTATAATTCTTTTTTTATTAATTATTAGTTTTTATTTGAAAGTTAACTTTATTTGAAAGTTAAATTATTAGAATACTAAGTTATTAAAAAGTTAAATTGTCAGAATATTAGAATATTAGAATATTAAATATCAGAAAGTTAGGATAGATCCATCAAAAATTATATTTATATTTAAATTAATTAAAAAGAAAATTTTATTATAATATATATATAATAGTTTATTATATTTATTATATACTAAATATATATATTTGTTATATAAAAATTTACTCGTCAAAGTCAATATTTTTTAAAAAAATAATTTAATAGATTTTCTTTATCCAAGAATAAATTTACCAAAAATAATTAAAAAATAATACTTTTATAATATTAAGTATATATCAGAATATTATTTTATAATTATATATTATATTGATAATTTATAAATAAAAATATAATGGAATTATGATTAATTTCTTCTAAAAAGTAATTTTAATAGCAAAAATATGAGAATATATATACTACAATTTTTATGCTTATAATGTGTCATCTAGTATGTGTTTATAATGCATTACAAAAAAACTGGATATTTATTTAAATAGCATAAAAATTTAAATATATATACTTGAGAGCATGATAAACAACTTTATTTAAGACTACTTAAACAGTTATCTTATTAAATTTTTTATAATTTATATTTTTATAATTAAAATTTTTAATAATAAAAAAACTTAAAAAATTATTATTTTATAAATTAACTTAAGTAGCCTTGTTTACTAGGTTATTAAGCATTTATGTAATAAATATTCATTGAATAACAAACAAAAAATGATTTTAAATTTTCTATAATCATTTTTTTCAAAAAAAAATATTGTTAAGATAAACTATTAAATGCTTTTAAGTAAACATATTCACTAGGTTATCAGGCATATATGTTTAAAATTTATATGATTTAAATAAATATTTATTGAATATAAACAAAAAATAAAATATCCAGTTTTATCGTAACACACTGTAAATAAAACAGGAATTACGACAGAAATTTTCTTATAAAATGACATTCTCAATCGATAAATTCTTATTCTTTACTCTCAAAAATTCATACAATAAATCGCATCTTTATCTTATTATGATTCTTCAAAAACTTGTTGTCTCTTTTTGATCTCTGCAGTTTACCTTTTTGTTATGTCCAACGTAATTCCAATGCCTCTTCCCGACGGTAGTCAATATGGTTACCCGTATAACCCATATTGTCGTGTGCCATATAGTTACTGTCATTGCTCCTTACCTCATGAAATTGATCCCCTACCGTGAATTAAATACCAGAAAAATGGTCATTAATCGGAACTTTTCCAGGATTTTTTATAGGGTTTTGGTGTAAAAGATTAAATTGAAAGGGTTTTAATGTAAATAATGTATCTCAAAATTTTTTTCTTTTGTAAAATAATATAATTTACTAATAAATTCTATTATTAGAATTTTTACATTGCCTGTATTTTACCTGGCTTACATTATTAATGACTAAACTACTTTGAAGTAGCCAAAGCTTTTTAATCTTGTCCAAAAATCTTTGACTGATGAATTTTAACATACTATCTAAGACTGGATAAGCTACGTTTACTTCTTTCTAGATAATTTCCCAAAAATATAATTCATGATAAGACGCACGCCGACACTAACTATAGCGATAAAAAGTGACGGCTATGTGATCTTTAAAGAGAGGTCAACTCGCAAGAAATGAGTCAGAGTATTATTTCACTTAAGAGTCATAGTAAAACATTTTTTAAAAGCATTATTAACAAAATTATGAGATACAAACTACATCTATTTTTCAAAGTTAAACGTTTTGAAATTTTTCCGTTATAGATTTATCTTTAGTTATTCATGTACTATTTGCATCACTAATAAAATTTTCGCATAATTTTGTCGCGAATGATATAGAAAACAATTAGTAACCCATTCATTATTTTTTCGTTTATTTAATAAGCAAGCATATATATATTTCAATTATAAAATTAGCAAGCATTCCATCCACAAAATTTATAAAAAATTATTTCAATTTTTTATTTAGGTAAATCGAAAATTAAGCACAAAACGTATTAAGTCAATATTTACTTTTAATAAGAATAGAAATAGAGAATATATAAGTAATTGGAAATGAAGTTTAAATAATCTATACGAACAAGCTAATGAATATGAAAATCGAAGAAAAAATAATGAGTATAAAATTAACAAGCTGATTTACCAGAAATAGAAAACGGATTATCAAATAAATCAACGAACAAGAATGTACAAAAATATTAAAGAACAGAAACTTACTAATATATTATTTTTTATAAAAGAATCTATCTAATGAACCAGAAAATCGAAAGAAATGAATAATGCACAAATATAAAACTAACTAAACTGATGTACGAGGAATTGAAAAATATAACATAAAAATCAACGAAGAATAAACAGAAACCTACTATATACTATTTTTTAAAAGAATCTATATGTTTCGTTTTAATATAATGTATGTGATCGAATATTTGAAATTTTATAAATTTAAACATAATTGAAATTTCTAGTCGAGTGTATGGAAGCATATTCAGAGATAGACATTTGGGCTTGTGATATAGGCGAAGAAATTAATGATGTAGAGACAATAGCTGTACTTGTGATGTCGAAAGGCATGTATGTCGGCGTTAAATTAAAGATAAGGCGATTGATATCGATATTATTTTCAAATAAAAGTCGAATATTATTATTTGAAGGTGCGTTATAATGGTCGATTGATGTGGATAAAGCAGTAATATTATTAATGTTTACATTAATATGGGGTTTATACTGAGCTGTTGACGATGTGATATTGGACAAATCTTCAGGCATATAATTTAGCAAAGCAGATGGCGCGTTAATTCTTGTTATCCCCTGGGATGAATTACTTATTGTGCTAGATTCGATGGACGCAGTAGATGCGTATTTTGTATATTCCTTAAATATAAACTTTTTAAGGCTCGCATCTTTTGAATTTTTCGGCCTGTACTTATAGTTGGGATACAAACTTTCATGATTCTTACAAGCTATTTTCTCTAATACTTTGAAAAATTCTTTAACTTCTCTTGATTGAGATTTCCATTTCGAGCTGCATCCCTTTGCAGTATGGGTAACTTTTTGTTTGACATTGGGATTTAATTGACGCAATTTCGCTTCATAATCTTTTCGAAAAATAATCCACCGATTCTGTGGCCTTGGTGGATTGTCCGAATTATCGCGTGTCTTCGTAGAAGGATTGGTTAGTTCTTCAACCGTGAGAGTTAGAACATAGGGACATTTATTTAGAAGATGCCTATCATGTTTTGATAAATAGGTGTAATTATTCATTTTAAGAGATGGAATTATGAGAATCTGTCTTATATAACAATGAGAGGATAATTTTTTTTTGAACTGTATTTTTTGACATTTGTTCTTTTCTTTCCTCCCTTATATATACGACGAAATTACATGTAGTTTTCGTGCGGGTTATTGCGGTCATCAAAATTTTTATACATTCATTAAAGCATACAAAAACCAATAATACATGTAATTATACGCCTTCTTATTGTCAATTATAACCATTGACTAAAAAAGAAAATGATCGCGATTGTCTTTAAGCATCTCAATGAAATATAAAGTAATAGCCAAATTCAGTTAACAAAGAATAGTATGTAATTCCTAAAATCAACAAATTACATGTATATTGTTGCATAATGACGCGCCATTGTATGCAAAAAAGGCCGTTCATTAATTGTCTCGGTAATTATGTAACGTATATAGACGTTACTCGCTTACAAATATATCGCGCTAGTCATAAAAAGAATCAAATATAATGTTTGTGTCGTTTATATTTTTAATGTATTAAAAAAAGTAATGTTCGTAGACAAAGTAATTAGCAGGCGGTTTGAAAAGATTTTTATAATTAAGTCCTTTATCGACTTTAAAAGAATATGGCATTATAGAACATGGAAATTTCCTCATTTTTTGCATATAATAATATATATTAGTTTATATAATTCGTGCAAACCTTAGGATAAAGCAATTTTTAAATAGTAAATTATACAAATATTTCTTTTATTAGAATAGAATAGAACGCACGCCTGCGGTCGTTATTATGGGTATATCGGAAAATTAAATATATGTCTAACAAAATACATGTACATAGTCCGCCTTTTATAGTCATCAAGTAAAAGTACTGATACACAACACTCCATTATTTTTACCAAATAAGAATTTGTTTTCACGTACCGTACTTAATGATTTTGTTAATAAACAAATTTACAGAAGCAACTCCTTTAAATTACATGCAACCACGAAGCAAAATAAATATTATTGTTAATCTTTGAAAAAAGTCTCATATGAATGTACTAAGGATCGCATTCCTTTGGTACCAGCGTCGGATATTTCTTAAACTCTTAGTTCATTAGTCTACGCATTTCCCCTTGAATGTCTTTTTTGTTTCATGAAGGGACCAATAAACTAATCAGCTTTTTGTTGCTCAATAACTGTTTAAGAGCCTGCAAAATAATCTATACTCGGAATATTGCGTAAAAGTGCGCCCTTTGAAAGAGAATTAAATAGTTCACAGCCATATGTTTCTTATGAAGATATGAGATATTCTAGAATCTAATTCTTATTTTCAAATACTTGGACATATGTATTTATATAACTGTTACAGTAGACTGATACAATTAAGTATTGATATTGGTACTAGTAATGGTAATAACAATAGTAATATCATTTATAATAAGCAAGAAGAATGATTATGTTGAATAATTCTCAAATGGTAAGTATTTATAGTTTATTATTCTAAGTTTATTTTATTTATCTATGTACAAAGTTTGTCTTGACACCACATCAATTCACACATAAATATAGACTAGCATTTATATATGTATAATTACGTATATTTATGATATGTACTTCTTATTTTCGGTAATTAGATCATTTAGAATCAATTTCTGGAAAGTACCTATTACATAGTACATGTAAAATTAAGGAATCTGTCAAAAACATCCGTAATGAAGGTAATTAATTCAGTTGCCTATTCTGTACTTTATTTTGATCGCTTATTACTTAATATCATAGTGCACGCATTTGTTAGAAACGATCTTAAGAGCAGATATTGGAATAAAAAAGACAAGTAAAGCAGAAAAATTTATTATTAATGAGAACAACATCATGCATAGTTTTTTTACTAGTAGATATTAAACTTTGATAAATCAGAAATAATTTGTATTTATCATACTAGAAAGAGACTATTTATGATTCGACCTATCGATGGAACGAACATTCAAGCATTTGATAATTAAACTGTCTTAATAATTATCAGTTTTGGGATTTTTAATTATGTATGTATTCATGTGAAAAAAGGCAAATAAATTTAATATAATCTTATATACTTTTCTAAATTTATAAAGAATATTCTAACCATCCCTCTGTTTGCTATTGTAATACATGTACTTCGCATCCTTTTCTACTATAAATAGTTATCATTCTTTGTTCAAGCCGTAAATCTAATAAATAAACATCTGCTTGCGATACTTTCATTGTCGTTTTTCTGTTTTAGGAATATTTTTGTTGTCCTTTTTTGGTTGTAAGTTAATCAATCAGCGTTACGATATTTAGATCAACGATAAATTGTGCATGTACTTGTATTTTCATTCATTGTTTTATTCCTTATTATTATCTTTATTGCTTTTATAAACAAGGCAGAAACAGCAAGTGGCAAAACTTATCTATTTATACAAAGAGAAAGAGACAAAAGATAAAAGACACTTTTTACTACCATTGGTCCTTAAGAAATGCTTGCATGCACACGATAAAAGATAGATCATTTCCTATTTTCATTTCTTATTTAATACATGTGGTTTAGTTTAATTAATTAGGTCACAGCCATCTAACAAATTATGAGATTAGTATGAAAAAGATACATACTACAGCAACAATTACTCACTGATATTTAAAACATAATTTGCACAATCAGTTTGTATTGTTGTATTTACATGTTTATATTATATTGTTTATAATAAATAACTTTTACTGATATATTTTAAAATTTTTGCTGCGTATTTTTCTTGTAAGGTCAACAATGATATAAAGGAATACAAGTAACGACAAAAGAAAAGTTTATTTATCATATTACATTTTAACACTAATACGAAATAAAAATTTGCAATTATGTTAGTGATATTAACGCCAATTTTTCAGAAGGCTGAATTGATGTTTCTAAATTATTTTATTTACTTGCAAATATATAATATTCGCTTAACACGTACATGCATTGATATTAAATGCAAATGCATGCTATTTTTGATAATATAAGCAAAGCGTAATACATATTTGATTACTTGAGAGTCAGAATATTGATATCATCTACAAAATTCAGGTTCTCCTAAAAAATGACATGTCTAATAGGATACAATATGGAAAATATAAGTTTCTAGATCTGATTTAAAATATCAACTATATTAATTTGTTTAATTAATCCTTTATAAAAGAAAATATAGATTAGTTTTATTATTAAAAATTTAAATCTTAAATAAATTCTATAAAAACAAATTAACATAGATTTAATAAAATTATATTTTCTTTCGTAGATATAAATTAATTATTAATATTAATAAACTTGCTCATGCTTTAATAATACTTAATTCTTGAGAAAATAATTTTGATTAAAAAATTATTCCGGATTATTAATTCCATTATATTTTGTTTTAAAACAGAATTTTATAGACATTTATTATTAATATTTTTAAATAAGCATAATACTAATCTTTTTATTATTGGTAGTCTAATAATTATCTGTTTTATTTTTATTAAAAGAATTGTTAATAATAAGTATTTGTAAAGTTTTTCAAGTATTATTAAATATATAATATATTAATAAATAAAAATATATTATTATTATATAAATAAAATAAAATATATAATTAAATTAAGATATAAGTATAATAATATATATAAATTATTATAAAATTAATAATATAAATAATATGGGTTGGTGCAAAAAGATTTCTATCTCAATATAAAAATCAATAATTACTTTTAATAAAAATCATTCAAATTTTAATCAATCTTTATAATTTTTTTATATTAAATAAAAATTATCTAAATTAACTTTTTATACTATTTTAACTATTCTATTATAC